AGTCAAACTACATAACGTAGACCTAAAATTTCTACAGCGAAAGTAGAACTTTGAAATCGATTTTAAGCGGTCGTTATTCATATACCCACATACATACATACATATATTACTTTTCATATCAATTCAAGTGTATCCCAGTGGGAATTAGGAGCACGTCATAATACCTTATTAGCAACTTACTCTTCACCTGGCAGTCATTACCATTTCCCTGCCGAACGTCCCTTACTTTTACAAAGGCATGGCCGCCTTATGTAAGTAGGAATTTAGAATGTGCATTTGGTATCAGACATACTTCTGAGCCGCTTTACAAAGTAAGTTACGTGTAATGCAGAGAAGTCGCTCGGAGTAGTTCGGCGCTTGGAGATCACTTCGGCTGCACGTTACTTTGCAACTGACAACGTAATGTGTCGTTGGAGGTGTTCATTTTGTGCTTTACTAGTAGATGACATTGGCCATGATGACAATTTTGGTACTAAAAACTGAAAGAAAACATGGCTTACCTCGTAAGGTGCTTACCTATTTTCCCAGTGGGTATTACATGCGCCCCACGCTTTTCATTTTCAATTTCATAGATTGTTTATAATGACTTTTGCTAAAATTTCAAAATCAAAAGTTATCAAAACAAATTCTATTTGTAGCTGTAGCAAATGTAGTACATAGGGCGACATCTAGATGTCATCTACCTCGCCCTATTCACTACAGATGTCGCCCTATGCACTATGCTTTTTTATATGAACTTTTCAAAGCAAAGCTTTTATGGTGTCGGACACACAACATTGAAAGTTTCTGGATCCACAACATTGAAAGTTTCTAAACACACAACATTGCAAGTTGATAAAAGCGTTGTAATAAACCAATTTCGGCATTTAGATCTAACGGCCATATTATTGACTTGTCGTTATTCCTTCGTATTCAACGGTTTAGTTATTCTGGGCAATTCTGAGCGACGGCGGAATAACTTTTTTGTCAATTATTCACTATGGAATAGCGGCGAATAACTTTCCGGCAGAGGAATAAATATTTATTCCAATAGATTTTCCGAAGAGAGGAATTGACATTCGGAGTGTCAAAATATTATAAAATTTTTGAATAAATTGCTTAATTATTTTTGTGTTGTGGTTTTGTTAACAATTTTAATTTGCGATTTTGTGTGCTATGAACGAAAATAAAGAAAAAGACAAGAAAAAGTCGCGAGTTCCTCGAGCACGGAGATCTGCGAATTGGTCGGCGGAGGAGACGTTGCGCTTTGTGCGCGCACTTGTTGATGTCGGTCGCGATGGCATTTTAAATCAGGCGACAAACGGTTGCACGCCGGAGCAACGGGCCCAGGAGTATCGGAAAATCGCGAATATATTGAACGCCGAGCGCGCTTCTACGGTTATTATTTTTTCATTATTTAAAATTTATTTTAAATGGTGTTAAATATTTTTTCTTTCAGGGAATTGTTCGCGAACCACTACATCTGCAGAATCGGTTCAAGCAAATAAAGCAGTATTTGCAGACATATTCGACATGGCAGCGGCAAGTTTCAATGGGAACTGGTGGCGGACTTGCGAAACCCATGCCAGTGTCTTTAACCGTTCCTCTCACTGGAACCATGCTAGAATTGCTTGCGATTCTGCGTGATCGCTTCTGTGGCCTCCATTCCGAATTTGACAGCGATATGGTAATTTATGGAAGTTCGGCAAACAGCAAAGAGCACTCACTGCTGAATACGGAAGCATTGCCCGAAACACAAATGCCGGATGATACACATACCCCATTGTATGTTCAAAACAAAGATGTATTGGGTGTTCAAAACACGACGTTAGAGGAGGTCCAAATTGTGAATATCACAGGTACAAATATACATATGTTTGTAGGAGCATACATACGTACATGTACATATTATATTAATTGGATCGAGTAATTTCAGTAATTCGTTTCTTCTACAGCGAAGCCGTCATCGACCATATTGACTCCCAGCTGTAACTTCTCCAGTCCTTTAATCGTCTCCACCAGCTCGCCGTTGCCCAAGGAAGCATCGGCAGTAGAACCGCGACAATATTTTGCAACAGTTGCACAACAGCGACAAGCACGGAAACGCAGATTCCGTGACCCAAATAATGCCGAAAATGAAATGCGCCAGCAGCTTATAAATCTTGAATTAACGCAGTCACGCGAACTCCACGCAACAAACATGCGCCATGCCATCGAGTTACATACTGCTAATATGGAAGCGGTTATGCTACAAATAACTGCTCAGAAGCAAGTAATGCAATACTTCGCTAAGCGGGAACAAGAAGCGCAGGAGCGTCACAACCTATACTTAAATAAATATATAAAATATGTTATTCATTGCAAAAAATAAATGAATTAAATGAAATTATCCTCCCTTTTCTAATCAAGGCAAGTGATTGGTGTGTGTGTTCACTTGGCGACGAAACATATCGAGGAGTTCGTTGCGTACATTCCTGCCATAGTTACTATTTGGAGTATCTTCTGTCGCACCACTGTTGATCTCTATTTCGTTGCTCGTGAAGCCAGGTGGTGTGTTGGGTAATTGCTCATTCTCATCAAAACAGATGTTGTGGAGTACTGCAGCGGTCGCAACAAGCATTTGTGCAGTCGATGTTTTGACACGCAAACCATAGGCCAATGCTGGAAAGCGTCGCTTCAGCACTCCATATGAGCGTTCCACGCAATTCCTGGTGGCGATAATTGCCCGCTGATATTCCTGTACGTGTTGTAATCCAGCGCGAAGCTCAGAACTATTTTCTGCGAATGGCGTTGCCAGGAAGGGAGAATTGGCATAGCCGGGATCACCGACTAAAATGTAGTGGCGAAATTCGCCCGCTTCGAATTGCTGCCATAGTGCACTCGACCGAAATATAGTCGAGTCGTGTGCCGAACCCTGCCATCGTGTAACAATGTTCATGATTTTGAGATTAGCTGCTGCAACGGTTTGTACATTCAAAGAAAAATATCCCTTCCTGTTTCGGAATATTTCCGCGTTTGGGCCTCCCGGTGACTGAATTTTTATGTGTGTACAGTCAATGGCTCCAATGACTCTTGGCAAATTTCCAAACATGTAGAAAAGGGCAGCCGCCGTTCTTAGTTCCTCCTGTGTCCGCGGCATTCTAACTATGTCAGGCAGTAGTCCCAGAACTGCTTTGCACACCTTTGGCAACAAGTTGCTAATCGTAGGTTGGGAAACTCCTATAATATCACCAACGATAGACTGCATGCTACCAGCAGCCAAGAAACGCAATGTGCATAGTAGCTGCACTTCGTGTGAGATATAGCGTTGTCTGTAAAGTACAAATAAAAAATATTAAATCAGTATACATATGAACTCAATACAGCTTTTGATACCTTTGATGTACCTCTGGCATGTAAGGCACAATCAAGTGTAGCACGTGTACAAATCTTGCCTTTGTCATACGGAATCGAGAAAAAAAGTCAAAATCGTCCCACGAGTGCATTTTTCTTCGTTCTAGCATTATGTATGGTCGTCTATTGTTATGGTCTTCGTCGTAAATGCGTTGAGCACGGTCAATTCCGATCAGCACATTGGTTCGAGATGGGCGCGCCATTATATCACCTAAAATGGATAAAAAAAAGGATAATTACAAACTAAAAACAGTTTACATTTCTTACCTGTATGTATTTCTAAAGCAGATGTAAGTCAATAATGAATTTTGAACGAATAACATGGAATAACTGCCTTATTCGCTCGATTCTGCCCGCTTAGTTATTCCCCGGAATAACAATTCTGACTTTCTTATTACACCTTATTCCGTTTTATTCTATGCGTCAATAATACACTTATTCCAACTAATTCTCCTCTATTCCGTAAATATTCTTATTCCGGCAAATTCGGAGTGTCAATAATATGGCCGTAATTGCTTTAACTTCACTTAATTATATTTTAACGATGGCTGTTTTGCAATTGCACATCACTTTTTATAACCATCATTAATTAATTTTTTTTTATTTATTTCTATTTTAACAGCATTCCTCGCAATCTGTCTAGGCCCAGTCATTAAGAGCAGACGCCGCCAACGCCAACAAGCCGCATAGAAGGAGAAAAAACTATACATTCATATCTACATTTACACCCATCCATTTAGATTTGTATAAATGTATGCAAGCGCGCTGTGGTGTAGTGGTAAGCAGTGCGCGCTTCGACTCCGCAGGTCCTGGGTTCAAGCCCTGGTCAAAGCAACATCGCAAAAAAATTTAGAAAAAAGGCTTTTTCTTAACAGCGGTCGCCCCTCGACAGGCAATGGCAAACCTCATAAAAATATAATGGCCGTTCAAGGTCGACATAAAACTGTAGGTCCCTCCACTTTGTGTAACAACATCAAGGCGCATGCCAAAAATCGGAGGAGAAGCTCGGCCAAACACTAACATATGTGTAAGCTCCAATCTATTATTATCTATCTATATCTATAATACGCGAAGGGATTTTTTGTGGAGGATGTACGATCTGCACCGTTCACTCAATTACTAAAACTGGGAAGTCAAATTAAGGGGCTTGGTCTGTAGATGTGCAAACTGGTTGTATTTTTTCGAAAAGTGTTGCCACCTGTTGAACAATTAAATTCAAATTATTTAATAATCTTCCATCATATCCTTATTGTTCGTTCGGCTTGCCAAAATGAAGTGGCAAATTAAAAATATTGAACTGCAGATGAGCAAGCGATGTTTTGCTTTTTTGAATAGAGCCACCTTTTAGAAAATCATATTCAAATTATTTAAAAAAATCAATTATTTCAAAACAGGGCATCAATCGAAATGGTTTTGAAAAGCTTTGTTCCTGAATTCATCCATAGGAGGTTTGCCTCCTGTTTAAAAAATCAAATTCAATTTGAATTAAGGGAATTAAATAAAGATAAATATGTATCACCATATGGTTGTCAAGAGGAGGGGGCTTTCAGAAGGTAGTAGTTAGAAAATATTTTGAAGAGGGTTGCCACCTGCTTGAAATTTGGAATTTAGTTTACTTGTGCACAAGTTATATGGAATATGGATGTCAAACGAAATTGTTAAGAAATAAGAAGGCATTGGAAGGAATACGAAGGCATTGGAAGGGATAGAAAGGCATTGGAAGGAATAGAAAGGCAGTGGAAGGCATTCGATGGGATTGGAAGGGATAGGCAGGCACTGGAAGGGATATCCCTTCTTTGGAAGGGATAAGAAGGCATTGGGAGAGATAGAAAGGCATTGGAAGGGATAGGAATGCAGTGAAAAGGATAGGAAGGCATTCAAGAAGTTATAACTTTGTTGTGGTTTTGGCCGAATTTAAAGTTGTTTCCTCTGTTTGAACGACACGGGTTTTACCTCTCTAATAAAGAAAAAAGTTTGAAATCGGCTGGAGAAAGGCTTAGTACTGGTCTTTTAATAGAAAAAAACGTAATTTTTTCAAAAAACTTTAATTTTCTTCACGCTCTTATTTGATTGTGAGGCAATAAAAAAAATTATTAAAAATTATCTTTATAAAAAAGTACATACAATTAGTTCTCCAAAAGTCATAAGCAAATTAAAATCGAATAATAAATGGCTTAGTAATGCTTTATTTAGTGCCGTTTTTGATTATGTATGTACATATATATATACATACATACCTATAAACTAACTATATTTAATTAGTTAGATAGCATATGGCTCTATATTTCTAATTTAGGGGCCCCCACATGTGGTGACGAAAGAACAAACAACATTTTTTTTTTAAAGATTACAGAAAAGATCGCTAGGTATTAAGAATATTTGTCAGCACACTCCATACATCTTGCCAGTTGAGCAACTAGCCTGCACTACGTTCAAAAAGATTGGGTTCCAGGTACGTAATTTGTAGTTGGTGAAAAGAATAGTATACATATTCCTCTGCTTAATCCAACGGACATTATTCTACCACCGCTGTATATTAAACTGGGTTTAAAAGAGCAATTTGTGAAAGCACGTGACAGAAATGATCTTGAAAATTTTTTTCAACGAATAACTTACGCGAAATTGAAAGAAGGTACAACGGTATTTTTCCATGATTTAAAACAAAATTAAATTATATTTTTAGCTGGTATTTTTGTCGGTCCATAAATACGGGAACTGATTAGGGACGGAAATTTTTTACAAGAAATTACGTCTTTAGAAAATGAATGCATGGACAGGTTTTTCTTCTGTGTGTAAACATTTTCTTGGAAACAAAAAGAGTGAACAGTATGAAGACATAGTAAGTGACATGCTGTCTGCCTACCATGCCTTGAGTTGCACTATGCCCATTAAATTGCACCATCTCCATGGTCATTTGTATATATTTCCATCAAATTTAGGCCAGATGACCGATGAACAAAGTGAACGATTAAACCAGGAAATTCTAAAAATTAGTTAGCTCTCCAACTACTGTTGGTCTCTTAAAAGAGATACTAGCAGCGATATACAGGGTATCCAAGAAGTAACCAGACAAACTTGTTATTATTTATTATGCAAGCGCGCTTAGCAAATCTTTACACACACACTCGTCGCGTCAAGAGCGCTGTCACAAATCACACGGACCCGAGTCTAGACAAAGAGTTTTTTTTTCAATATTATTCCACTGAACTTTCAGCAATGATGCATTTATTTTACATTTTAATATCTAAGCATGCAAAACGCGCTCACACTTTTATTTTTGTTTAGCGATTTTTAATTTGCACACAAGATTTTAACATTTCTCTATAACTTGAAAATTTTTCACTTCGTTTCTATATCTGCTGCTGCGGCTTTTATTTTTATTTATTTTTTTTCCTATTTTCAATTTGTCGGCTCCACAATAGCGCGCGCGTACGAACGCTCACACGGTCTTTGCAATTACTGCTCTGCCGCATGGCGTCCACAGTTTCCATCATCTGCTTCTTTCCGACTGCGTTGCGCTCACATAAAACAACAACATGCAAGCAGCGAAAGACAACAAAAATATTGAACAACCAAAATAGATGTCGTCGCTTGCGATTAGTAAGTTGCGATAGAAAGAAAAAAAAACTCTCGAAAAATCTAAAAATTATTAAATGAAAAAAAAACC